CACACACACACACACACACACACACTTGCTCTCAAACACACACGAGCCAGGCTAGTGGTGTGGAGCAAAGAAAATAGACTATATCTCCTTCAAAGATAATAGACCATTTTTAGTGCGAAGCTCATTGAATGTGAATTTATTTATCTTTTTTGTGTCCGCCATCTTTTATATTTAACCAAAAAAACGTGAGGAAATCACTTTTGGTTGCTCGGGGGTTGCAATTACTAACTAAGAAAAAAACATTTACATGATTGGACTTGATAATTCTCCGGCCCCAGCACGTTGGGGCCGCAAATTAACGTGAAGAAACACGGAGGTGGGAACGACGCGTCGTTTCTCTAATTGCTGAAGTACTACCAGCTGCACCACAGGCAACAAACAGAAATAATCCACATAAAAAAAGGCAAGAAACTTGGCTTTACAAAACGACAGAAGGGATTTCTCTGTTCTCTTCCTGTGAAAACACAATCAGGCAGAAATCAATGATCTCGGACCTTTGAACCCCGGGCCCACTCACCTCATATTCCTGGGAGAGTTTGAGGTTGTCATTAGCTTTGAGAAGTTCAGTGTGTTCGGACAGCTCCGAGATAGGAATAGGAGGATGATTCATMATGCCTGTTTGCCAATTAAATACAAAAAAAGCAGAAATTTTATGAGAAATAAATAAACAAAAACGTCCTTAACACAGGTGAAACATCTGAGGAGACACATTCAAAATTGAGYAATCAGACAATAATGGGTGAGAGTTTGTTGCTTATTTAACAACACAAGTTTGCTTTTAGTGACGGAGAAGCTTAAGAAAAACATGGTGAATGTCACAAACACACAAAATAATTGTGATGTTATGAGTCCAGGTCAGAGCTCAAAGAAATTAAAAAAAAGGATTTCAAGCTGGATTGATTTTTCTCCCCCTCCCATCAACATAGCCGCACAAATATGGTATAACTGCAGTAATTTTTTAAGTAGTCAAAATAAAAATTAAAAAAAGAGGCAAATTGAAGCACGGATGGCCAAATTTAACACACTCTGGCTGAAACATTAATCATTTTAATCGCTTCAGTAATTAATTTTAATGGCACAAGAAAATAAAAAGTGATTTTTAAGATTTCTAAGACAAAAACACGACAGACTCTAATATCACTTTGTTTACTGAAAAATCACAGTTATTACACAAAAAAATGTACTTTAGTAAACATGATGCCATAATAATACAGTAAATAAGAAAGAATCCTAATAAGTTAATCACTTATTTGTGGTAAAAAGGTAACAAACTCAAGAGAAATTTTACTGCAAACACAATAAAACATATTAATAAATACCAGTAAAACAGCTGGTCACTTAATAGTAAATTATTTAACTTTTACACATATTTCTGCTTAGTTGAGCAAACAATATGATCTATTTAAGTATCGACTAAAATAACCCAACATTCTTTAAACCACTTTCCAAAATACAAATAAATAGTCAACGATTTGTGTTTTATGTATTAAAATGTTTGTTTGCAGGATGGTTTGCAATCTTAAAAATAAAGCCTATAAATAAAGAATAAATAAAGAAACATAAATATGACAATAATGAGAAACTATTTTATTCTAGAGAAAATCCATTTCCATTACTATTTACAGTGGGAGCAGTTTGATGACTTTTCTTGTGAGTTGGAAAAAATGTATAAAAGAGAGAAATAAATAAAGCAAGAGATCCTTTTGTTTTGCTTGCTGTGCAAATAATTTCTGTTATATTATTGTTTCACACCRCAGTCTAAATGTTGATGTTCTCGGCTGTTAGCACGATGCGCTAACGACGRGCACATCAGGATCTTTATTCTCACTCTTGCCTCAACAGAAAGCCGTTTAATCTCGAGTGGAGCCCTGACCTGGGGGYGTACGGTAGGGGAGGTGAAAGGGGGATCAGGAGGTTCAGGAGTGTGAGTGATGCTGAGTGACACGGTGAGCTGCTCCAATCCAGCCAGCCAGTGCAAAGCAAGCAAAAATACCCATTCCTCCATCTGCCGGTTCTCCCAAACCAATGAGCACCCTGGCCAAGACAAATACCCCCAAACTTTCAGTCTCACAAATAAACATTCTCCGTTACATTTCCAATCTGTACTTCACCCAAATCCTAACATGAGCTCTCCCAAGAACAATCCTTTAACTTTGGTGGATAAATTGTCCTTTTTTAAATGTACTGCATCTGCTATTATCAGCCCTGCTGTGCACTCCATGTCTCTAATCCATTTAGGAGCATAACGCTGAGGCCATGTAATGGAATATGAAACAACCATGGAGAGAGGCTCTGGCCTTGTGTGCAGTCTGGCAACACTTTCATATTTTTAGTTAAGAGGCCTTTTATTTTCCAACAAGTACTGAGGTCAAACGTCAACAAACTCCTGACATCTGGTCACAGAAAAAAAGTTACCAGACCTAATTGGGTGTGCAAATCGGCATAATCACATTAAGCATCCTTGATTTACAACACTTAATATTCCTGCAGTGTCACCGAGGTCACTAATGTTTTGGTTGCTTTTGTTGCACTTAAGAGTGAAGCCCCCCCTTTTATCCTGACAGTTTTCATTAGTAACAGCTCTTTATTTTACACTGAGAGAACAATGAGGCAATAAATTACATGAGGATTACAATGAGACAAATGGATATGACACTGGAAGCATCCTCTGGACAAGAACGGACATCCCACATTAACAGGCTGTTTGACAACAGCCCCACCCCCCACCC